GTGTGTGTGTGTTTGTGTGATTGTGTGTATGTTTGTGTGTGTTTGTGTGTTTGTGTGTGTGTGTGTTTGTGTGTGTGTTTGTGTGTGTGTGTGTTTGTGTGTGTGTGTGTTTGTGTGTGTCTGTGTGTGTGTGTGTTTGTGTGTGTCTGTGTGTGTGTGTGTGTTTGTGTTTGTGTGTGTGTGTTTGTTTGTGTGTGTTTGTGTGGTTGTGTTCTTGCTTTTTTTGGTGCTTGGGTTTGTGCGTGCTTGTGTGTGTGTGCTTTTTGTGTTTGTCTATTTGTGTGTTTGTGTGCTTGTGTGTTTCTGTGTTTGTGTGTTTGCGTGCGCGCGTGTGTGTGTGTGAAACAAGAGTCAGGCTGAGGCGCGTGGGGCCTCCCGCCAACAAGCATGGAAGTGCACAAGCCGCTTTCCAGTTTCCAACTGCAAATCAAGGTGGAAAAAGCACACGAACTGAAAACACCACCTAGCTGTATATATACATCTATATATATATATCATAGTTGTGGCTCAAAATAGAAATCGGTCCGCCACAATGGTTGGCTTTCCACCAAGTGAAGGTTGGTCAGGGAGTTGACAAATGGATGTAGCCGCCCTTTTGAATCTTTACAATTGGGTGTTGATTGTGACTGATATGTGACATGTCACATCCTAGGGGTGAGCGAGCCGGACCCCCCCAAAAAAAAAGAAAGAAAGCGGCGCTGGCTCACCCCACAGACTAGTGATTTGAGCTACCAGGACAAGGGGCACGCCAATCCGATTGGTCCCAAAACCACATGGAAGACTCCCATCACCATCGTTCGATGTGTGATCTCCACAGAAACCAACAATTTGGAAAAACACGAACCCCCCCCCCCTTTTTTCTGGCCTGCCAAAACCAGCCCCAGACGTTTTTGGGAGCGCATAACAGGAACCGGCGATGGGGGCTTCCCCAGTCCCATTTTCTCAGATGCCCAGTGGAATTCCATGAAAAACAAATGGCATCCAGTTTTTGGGTTGGTTGAGCTTCAAGGAATCGGAACCCTGCCCAAAAAATGGAGAAAGGGCGGAATTCACTGGGCTGGGTTTTGATACTCCAAATTCCCATGCGGGTAAAGTGGACCACACTGGAATGTGAGGGAAGTGCTCGGGCTGCTCATACCATTGCAAGGCGTACGGCTCGGTCTTCCATTTCTGAAAGCAACAATCAAATCTGCGGAACAATTGTCCCGCCGGGATTCCAGCTCGAGGCTCCAATTTTGGAGCTAAAAAAAGCTGCACCCCTTCCTTGACAATATCACACTAGGATGAGACTTCTATGTCAGGCACCAAACGCAAACTCACTTTCAATCTGAACAAAAAGGTGATGCGTCAAACACCCACAAGGGGAAAATCCAGTTGTGTGATGTTGTTTGCGTGGCTGCCTTGCGGCCTGAGAACTTCTGAAAGATCCACAATAAGTCTGATAGGTGTCTCTTTTTGTCGGGGAACCCTTTTTGGATGGCTGGAAGTGGGCTCTCCTATTTTGAGACAAAGCAATATTGACGGGTCCGCGATCCTTGACGGCTTAGGCACAATCAAAGCAATCCGGAGTTGACTTCTTGGTAAGTCTGTCGCCTCATACATCGACTCGGCAAGTGTTTGAAATGTGAGTTCCTCGTAAACAACCACATGACCTGACAGGGTCACTCTCATTCAAACATTGCAGTTGACTGGTGAATTGAACAAATGAACCTCCAAGGGTGCGAAAACAACAGAAGAAACTGAACGCCTGCCTGAGCAACCAGCAAGGTCATGATCAATATGAAAACCAGGAGCTGCAAAGGAGAGTAGGTCTGCACCAGCGAAACCAACGATGCCCAAATGAAGCTCCCGCAAATGTAGCAGTAGACATAAGCCAGCGGGCAGCAGAGAAACGCAAGAAAGCGCTGCACCGGACCCGGACAGCCACTGGACAACGCGCACTTCAGCATCCTCTGTGCTTTTTTGACCCAAATCCAAATTCTAGGAGGCTAAGCGTCTCAAAAGCCTCAAAGCATAAAGTCTAACTCACAGTGTAAAATAGAAAAGTCGAAAAACTGAAATGCCGAGAAGTCTTAAAGTCAAAAAGCCGAAAAGTCTAGAAGTCTAAAAGTCGAACAGCCTCGGGAGTCGCATGGTTTTTTGACCCGAGCATCTGCAGCAAGGTGGGATAGGTCAGCGGGAAGGCCAACACGATGCACAGCACCCAGCCGATGGCTTGAACGATCATGTATTGGCTCACCGAGCCTCGGCAGATTGAACTGAACGACCCGAAATTTGTTCGAGAGGTGGGTGTGTCTCTCTTAAGGAAACCTGGCTCTAACAAGAAACCAAAAACCATAATCTGGGGTTCCCTACAAGACAACCCCAGGAAGGGTTTGGTAAGCTAGCGCCGTAACTCACCCGTTAGGTCCAACACTGTTGGACAAATGTACAGAGGCGGGTGATCGGCCCCCAGACCCCCGGCATCATTCTCTCCAGCTTGCATCGCGCTTCCAGTTTCGTCCCTTCTCCTCTAAATAAAGGTTCCATTGACGATTTGGCCGAAAGCATTGTCTCCCAATGCTTTAGTTCACACGGCCCCCGCCCCCCAAACCATGATGCTTCATGCACAAGCACAAAAGCCATACCCCATAGCACAGCGCGTGTCTCTCTGGGTTGCTCTGGGCAAATGAAGTTGCCCTGCGCAAGTTGCTCTAGCATCGCGCCGACTCACTCACTCAGAACACACGGCACTTCAAGGCAAAAAACAACTAAAAGAATCCGGCTGATACTGGCCAATGCGGGTAGCACGAAGCGTTTGCAATAACTAGGCCAGACATAGACCCCTGCAACACATGATCATTATGTCCTGGTTGGAAGGGGAAATCGTGGAAAAACCAAACGGGCGACAGGTTGAAAAGCTAAGTTGAGTCAGGGCACAACCAAACCACCTACTTCAAGCCCTTTGGGTTCTGCACCAACCTTAACCCTCGCCGGTCGGATAACATAGGTGAGAAGACACCAATCCCAACTGGTCCCGTGGAGCTGGCTCATAGTGTTCAACAAGCTTTTCCAAGTTCGCAGAACACCTTCTTGCCGGAAAGCCAAGGAGCTTTCCATAGATGGTGACCCCTGCTCACGTGCGATCCGTGCCAACCAAAACCCGGCTAAAAGAGCGATAATTTTGCCCGAGGGGCTGCAACCGCTCTTTTTAAAGGAGGTTTCGCAGGGCCCGTTGTCGCAGCCTAAGACGTTCACCAAGGAGTAGAAGATCATGGGCAAGAAGGCCGTGAGACAAGTGCGCCAGGGTACGTACAGCTGGTCGAAAAAAACATTTCCAGGGGTACGTTCGGCAAAGATGGCGTCCACCGATTTAGAAGCACTAGGTAGAAGCCGAACCACCTACTCAAATGGAATGAGGCGCCATTTTCTTCTTGGAGGGACACGAGGCGCTCACCCTTTTGGAATCAGCTTTTTGCACTCAATGGCGAGCACCATTCTTCTCAGGATCGGGGAACGAGCCAGGCTCCTTGCCAATCTGCGTGATCACGTTCTCGCGCAAAGTGCCCCGGATATAGGCATTGAAGCTGTCAAGGGGATCCAGCCACATCCGGTTCAGTCGGTTGTCGAGGCTTACCTGTGGACACGAGTGATTCAAAGAACTAAACAGTGTCGTGTTCTAAAGAATGCTCGTATACAAATATATATATATTTCTATATACACATATGTGTGTAGATGAGTTCCGCGACGCTTTGCCGGGACACTGGGAGGGGGGCCCCCTTCGCGCATTGTTTAAATTTCCCCCTCCCCCTCCCCCCCCCCCGCCACCCCCCCCCCCCCCCCCCCCCCCCCCCCCCCCACCCCCCCCCCCCCCCCCCCGCAAAGGATCTGATTCAATTGTTGGGAAAGCTGGCTCATTCAACAAGGCCTTGTATTTCTAGTGTTAAATTCAATCTTTGTTTGCAAACTCAACTTCTGTTTGCAAAATCCAGGTCTCTTACGTTCGTGGTGCTCACCTGCATGAACAGGGTTGTCCTGAACTATGTTGTGTTTGTATGCATGATGTTCATTATAGGCTTGCCTGGATAAGCTTGAGAGAAGCTCTTTCTTGGAGAAGCAATGCCAGAGCCATCGAAAAGGATGAAGCTTGAGGTGGACCTACATGAATGACAAAAAGCACATTACCAATGAGCTGGTAGGCAAATGCCCGGAAGGCCCGACACAAAGTACTTGTGTCGCCACCTCAACGCAAAGTGCTTCACCTCCAGACGCAGAAGACATTCTCGTCAAGATCAAGACGGGCGCTTTGACCGTGCATGCGGACGTACTGGTCGCTTTGACCGTGCATGCGGACGTACTAAGTTCGACAAAGAAACAGCTACAAATCCAAAGCAGCACGATCAAGCGGAATGCAAGGGCCAGGGGAATCCGGGGCATGGATGAAGAATGGTCGCCAACATGTGAGACAAATTTCACCCACAAAGAAGGTGATAAGAAATTCTTTCACCAACCTCGCCTGCGATCATGGACACCCCAGGCTCCAGGGCATCTACGTCTACATCTGACACGGCATCTACTTCGGATCCTGAAAATCTTGCCTTGCAAGATTTGGTTATATATATATAGCTTCAACACACATTGAGATTTCCGTGTTGCATGGTTGTCATGAACGTGGCCATGGCAGAGGTCTGGTCTATGTTTGTGGTCTACATGACAAAGAACAGCTTCTGTCCACAATGTCTTGCCGAGGATCAGGCAGCTATTCGATCAGCTGTCTACCCTCGTCTACCAGATCTTCCTGTCTTGGCCCGGCCCAAAGGTGCGCTTGGAAATTCAATTCGTCTTCAGATCATGCTTCAAATGGCTCTTGCTGAGCTGTCAAGTTTTTATCGCTCTAAGGTCAAAATCCCATTGGCCTTGCCCAAACGCTCTGCGACAACCAGATCCTCGTGATGGACTGCAATATCGCCAAAAACTCGGACAACAGTGAAGAAATGCTTCCTCTACATGCTGTCTGATGTTCCAGGTGAACAGTGCGCCGCCCCAGGTTTTGACGTCCAAGCAAGTCAAGCCGCCGGGACAGTGACAAGTCTTCTTGGAATCCTTCTGGCGAACTTCGGACGCTCCTCTTTCCAATGCTGCATTGGTTTCGTACGAACTTGGCCTCGCCCAACAGTTCTCTCGCACATCCAGATAGGACTTGAGATCCTCAAGATTGATACCGCTGAGGGGTCATCCCAGAGCACAGGCGCATGCACTTCGCCGGGTCTCTCCCGATTTGCTTCGGCCTGCGCTACACAGGTGGACCCGCCAAGCCACGTGAAGATGTCAAGTGTCGAGCAACCGCCATGCACCGCAGGCGTTTTGCCGACGCCAGCGCGACGGACGGCATCAAAGGCATGATCAAGGGCACGATCTCTTGAAGGAAGCCACCATTCAAGTCCTTCAGAAAAGAAGTACGCAGGCTTTGAGAACCACGCGCTGAGGCCACCCACAAAGTGTAGAGGTGCTGTCTGAAATGCTCCACAGCACCCGCAAGTACTGACCTTCTCCTCCACAATCTCTTGGGGCCACCCTCACGGTGTGTAAATACCGTAAGATGGCACAACTGATGGCAATCTCGAAGCGAGCAGTCGTCATCATTGCCGGTCACAAGGGCGAGCTCAAGTGCTTCGACTGCGGAGGAGTCAAGCAGGGGCGCCATGAAAAGTATGATGGGCAGGCGAAGCGCCTGGAGGCGCAACAGAACCTCCTCTCAAAGCTCTTGGCAACTCCGGAGGAGGCTTACGCGCACCGAGCAGAAGCACATGACAGGTGGCGTCTGGATTGGGGAGACGATGTTGTCGCAGATGTAGCGTCCATCATGTCGCCCAATCGTCGTGATGCTCCTCAAGTGGAACTCAAGACGAGACCTTGTCGCCGCCACAGAAACGAACTTGTTCCAACTTTGGAGTCATGGATGTATTGATGTTGATGAGAGTGACATGCCCCAGGAAGCTGATGTTGATGAGAGTGACATGTCCCAGGAAGCGGAGCTCGAGGCAGACAAACCCTTTGACCACGAGATGACTTTGGGGTGAACATAGCTCTTTCCCAGTCGAGACTCTCTTTACGTATAGTCGACGTGTCATTTCCAGCACGGCGCCCACGGTAAAAACAACGATTGCTGCATTTAGCTCTGGCCATTTGCAACAGCGCTCGCATACCCAATCATCTCTGTGCTTGCCTCAAAAGCAGTTAGTGGTGTGAACAATGAGAATGGTGTAGCTACATCCTTGGGGGCCCAGTGGAGATCTTCACCTACAAGAGCGCTAAGGATTTCCAGAAGAAGTTCCGCGTCAAGAGCATCACTACGAGGACCGACTACTTGCAGCAGGTGAAGTGGGCAGTGCTGGAGGACACTTCTTTGCAGGAACCTCAGCCCTCATTGAACTCTTAATTTGCCATGTCGGTCGACTTGCTTCCAAAGCAGCACGTGTGTGAGTCTTGTGGAAATGCATGCTTCGTAATCGTGTGAATTCTGAGAGGGCATCATGGGATTGGGTGGCTAGAGGATGACATTGCGATGATTCTGCATCACAGTCGCTTACTTCTGCTACAGCCCTTAGGCAAGAACTTTCTACAGTTCTTTGACTGCATGTGCATGTGGAGCTTCGACTATCCATCCTGGATCTTATCTTGGAAAGAGGCGTTTATCATCAAGAGCTCAATGTTTGGGAAGATGTTTTCCGAAGAGCGCAAACAAACAGCTATGCCTGGGATTGCTGAGTGTCAAGAAGTCTTCAAGTCCCAGTCCCAAGCCCCAGTCCTAGTCCCAGTCCCCCAGTTCCATTGAGACCATTGAACAGCGGGAAGCTATGTCCCAATATAGTTGACAATTATGCCTAAATACAAAATTTAATAAAGCATGCAAAACGCGCCGGTCGGAAACCATCCGCAAGCCATCTGTAGATGTATCTATATATTTCTACAGAGCGCGAGCGCTCTGGCTTGGTTCGAAAAGCTGCCGTGACTGTGTTTTGAGGAATCGTCAAATGCAATTGGCGGACAGGCGGCTTCCTCTTGGCCTATTCTCCAAGAGGCCACCTATTTGGAGAAACCCCCACGCCAAAGTCTGACCAAGGACCACATGAGCAAAAATTGGTGGGAGAAAGAAACTCTCGCATTCTTTTCAACAATCTTGCTGGTGCAGGGAATGAAACGACCCCTAGAAGCCACCCCCTATGGTTTCCGTCATTCACTTGAACCCGCACCCAAAAAGAACCTGGCCTCACAGAAAAGCATATGGGCGCTTCTCTAGAAGAAGGTGGCAAAGTGCCTCCAAAGAAAAAACGTGGAGCTGTAGCTAGTCATGGGAGTGACCCAATGAGTCCTTGCAGCTTTCTTGAATCTCCGTCGTTTCGATTCTCGAAGTGTTCGTTGGGCTTCGATTTGGTCTGAACCTCCCGCCTCCCCCTCGTCCACACCCTCGGCGAGCCAAGCCATTGGCCGATGTTCCTCGCCGCTTGCGCTCCAAGTTACGTCTAAAACTTGCTGGGGATGGAATGAACCCAGGCCTTGGTCCAAGTTGGATATCTTATAAGGGCCATTTCTCATCCGCCAAGCAATAGCCAGGAAAGTGGTGCCGGGGCAAGGGGGTCACGTCTAGCCCCTGCCTTTGCTGAGATCAACGCACGAGGAGATGCGGATCACTTTGGGGGGAAATCCCATCATTGAAGCAGAACCTCGGCCCAAACATGGCAGAGGGCACAATTGAGAAGCCTACCCCTATAACCAACCCAAAACCCTAAAAACAAACCCACACCCTAAAGCAACAAAACAAACCCTACGCCCTACACCCAACGAACCAAACCCGACACCCGAAGCAACCCCTCCGCCCGAACCCGGCCTCCTTGAAGAGCTCTTTCACTTGCTGCTCGATGGCCCCCCGGTCCGCGGGAACAGTGCACTTGGCTTTTCGCACGTCGGAGCCCGCCATCTGGTCCAGCAACAGCCTGGGGTCGAAAAATTGCGCCGACCTGTTCCTTCGCTTTGCGCCTCACGCATTTCTTTTTGAGGATGGGGGGGGTGAGAGCTTGGGGAATGATTTCAATGTAATTGTGTTTCTCGTGTTGGCTTTGTGGAGTGTGTGTGTGTGTGTATGTTTTGTTGTTTCCTCCTTATATAGTACACACATACGTTATATACACAAATGTGTCTTGTGTTTTGTTTTGGTTTTTTACAAAAAACGTTTTGATTGTTTGTGTTTTTGCTTGGGGGGGGAGTCCCAAACCGGGGGTGCCCGATCCCTAAAGCACCAATTGTGGTTTCGGTCTCGCTATGGTGCCTGGATCTATTTGCTCGGGATGTGGAGACTATTCGATGTCGCTGGTCATGTTGTTGTAGGATTGCTGCAAGAGCGTGCCGCAAGTGTAACTTTTTCCTGTCACTGCATGAATGCGATACAGAAAGAAAGGCCTGGGGCCCAAACGGCGGTGGGAACATCAGTGGTGTAACGCGGAGTCAAAACATTTGCACTGGCTGGCCTCTTATGCGGTAGCCCTGTTAAATAGACTAATCCGGAGCTTGCATTCAATGCGTCAAGATCACTTTGTGATGTGGTCGGATTTTTGTTCGTCTGGCAACTGAAAAAGCATATACAAGCGCGGTGCGTGTTGGAATTGAATTCGCACACATGATTGGTAAGGCAAGAGAGACACCTAGTCGTGTCTAAAAGGTTGCATCTTTCTTGACTGATGCTTGCTGCAATCGGAGGACAGGATTGTCCTGTGAAACTATCAATTCTCTCACTACATGAAAATAGTCTTATGGGCGATGAGATTGATATTGTAATAAAGACAGTCTTGTCGTCGATGAGGCCAATGTAAAAGACTCAGCGCGGATATCGATGGGTCAGGCATATCGGGTGCGTCGGTTGCGGGAGGGTAACGTGCACTCTCAGCGTTGCCAGTTCTTGTCCGGGTAGCTGCTATCCCATGCGGCGGAATAGTCCACCCAGGATTGACGATCTTGGTTCAGGCTGCCTAGTGTTCTTCTTGTTGCGCTGATCCTTGGTGTTCTGGATGTTTCCCTGCTTGGCTTCGGATCTACACCATCAGCGGGAGGCAAGCTGTTCACGGATTTGTTGCCATCTCCGGTGATCGCATCGCACTGGAACTGTGTTGTCAGCGGCAGGATGTCTTTTTGGAAGACGGATGTGGAAAACTCCACTTCATGTCTGCCTTGATGGATGTACAAGAAGGCAGGTGCTGGTGATGGTGATCCCGGCAGTATTCGCATGTAGTCTCCAGTGATGGCCAAGCAGCCTGGGTCTTGTTCTTCACCGCTGGTGCCAAAGTAGCATCTGAA